GATTCCATCCTTTTTCTCAACTAAAGAAAACTAACAAAGGCATCACGAGGTAGAAAAGCTTATTGTTTCATTTGCCCATTAATTCCAGTATTTACCCAGTATTATTTAATACTTTAATACCGTACGTATTTTATCCCAGCAATCGATTACATTAAATAATTAATACATTTTGCCCGTTGAAATTATGAGTAAAAATTAAATACAGGCGAGGAGCATTGAAATAAGTATCGGGGTTGGAAAAAGTAGAACATGAAATATTAACGAACGAACATGAGAGATATTAATAATAAGGGATGAAATATTATAATTCTTGAGCGAATGCCTCTCGACATGGAGGAAACGGCAGCGGGTAGTACACCGCTTTGTACGAGTACGTCCGCGCTGCGTCTCGAGAGTAGCCACTGACCCTTCAGGTTCGACGGTATTTGCGAGATTAATGTAGAGAGGCAAAAATCCACCTCGGACAAACGCGAATAGAATGCGGATCGTCACAAATAAAGTGATGTGAAATTGAGTGCCGACGCGTGAGAATGTACATGTAGCGCGGCATCGCGTGGCGTGCCAGGCCCGTCAACAGTGACCCCTTCATCGATGTTGAAAGGAGCCACTGCGGTGATAGCGCCGCGGGATGAAGACTTCAACAAATGCCGAGATTTGGTTGCCTCGGATGATGGATGGCGACCTGGCCCGAAGGATGAAAGAGCCCCCCTCCCTCCCCCCCGCTGAGCGAAAAGAGCGAAACGAGGGAGGGACACGATACGAAAGAGAGCAAAGAATAACGAGATGACACGCACGATAGAGGTAGAATCGACGCGGCGAATACACGTGTATGTACACACGTGTGTATACACGTACGCGGAGGGAGGATCGATAGAAGCAAAGAGAAGGTAAAGAAAGAGAGACTGGCAGGGCAGGGCAGGGCATCGCGCGAGGCAGGACCTTTCGCGGGAAGTTGCAAAAGACGGACAATCTCCGCGGACGGGGAGATTCCCGTCGCGTCTGGCGTCATCAGGAGGAGGGCACGGTCGTTCCAGCGCTCCGACGGACGAACGCAATTTTTCACGGACGTTACGGAGGCGGAAGTCCAGCGGAAGCCGGAAGCGGGATCGGCGAATCCGCGAAACGCGCGGGAGAGAGGAACAAAGCTCCGGGCCGGACGCGTGTACTCGCGAGCAAAAAAGCGCGGCCTTATCTCAGCCGCGACGGAGAGAGATTAATGCGATCTGATGAATCGCGATGTCCCTCGCTGTCGCGTATAATTGTGGCCGTTCTTCATTTTCTCATGCGCGGAGTAATATCTGCGTCACGCCGTCACATATTCACCACCGTGGGCGGGAAATCGCGTTTAGCGTTCAACTCGATACGAAGTGATACATTCGCAAAGCGACGTACTAGAAAATCGATGATATAACGTCAAGTCTCGCGTCGCGATCACGATGGTTCTCAATAATCGAGCACGGTCAAGTTTTCAATAATGTCCCAAGCTCTGTCACTTTGACAGAATAAATCGATGTGTTAAGTTAAACATTCGTCTTTTTGGCACACGTGTCCGCGCGCGGCGAGATTAAATCTCGAATCGTAATCTTTATCGAAAATAAACGTATTCTTTACCAGCGAAAAGAGAAGGAAAGGCACACGAGAGAAACAAAAGTACGTCGTGGCAGAATGGTCAGCGGATAGATGATAAAGAAACGCAGTAAGATGACGCAGAAGATGGAGAGATACGAGAATAGAGGAGGAATTGGTGAGATGACATATGTATATCAAATGTTATATCAAAGGCTTCGTCGGAAGCGGAAGTGAGGTGATGCTTATTCAGTCGGAAGTTGCAACGTGGCTCGCCTGGCCTCGCGGACTGAGCAGACTGAGTGCGAACGTGAGTGCGAACGAGAAGAGCGATATTTGTGAAAAGAATATTGCACCGAGGTCCGCGGTCTTTGTTGCAATAATCAATGAAACAAGCTATACAGTAATACACAAACAAGTTTTCAAAGGAGACTCGAGATTTTTCTAGGAGAGAACTTAAAGTAAGTACATTTGACGCCGATTGATATATACTATATACATATATATATATATATATATATACTTTTCGCACAAAGCCAGATTTATAATTATACTGTTTCACACAACTTTACAAATTCACGTATAAAGCAAAATTTATCTCCCAACCAGACGAAATTAATCCTAAGCTAGAAAACGTGCACTTTAGAAACTTGTAAACACATATATATTTTTATAGCTTATTTTATAGCCTTGATTACTGCAAAAATAGTGCAGTTTTTGCCACAGTAGTATTTCCAAACATTCACTGAAAAAGGAGAGAGAGAGAGAGAGAGAGAGAGAGAGAGAGAGAGAGAGCGAGCGAGCGAGCGAAAGAGAGAGACAGAGAGAGAGAGAGAGAGAGAGAGGGAGAGAGAGGGAGGAGATAGAGAGGGAGAGAGAGAGGGAGAGAGAGGGAGAGGGGGAGAGAGAGAAAGAGAGAGAGAGAGAGAGAGAGAGAGAGAGGGCAAAGTTATGCTCAGAGCACACTCGTGACCAGAGAGCCAAAGAGAGAGCAACAGAAAGAGGAGCTGGCGCTGGAGGAAGAGGAGGAGGATCTATCGGCCGGAAGACGTAGATACTTTATCTGCGCTACCTACGGCGGCCGCGATAGATATTAATTCTTAAGAGCAGACTGCAGCGCTCGCTACATCGGCCGCTCACAACGCGCGAATCTACATCCCCCAATCCCTACGATCGATTTCGCCGGAGCTTCCTGATTACGATCGCAACGATAGGTAGACTCGGCGCGTCCGTAGAGGCGTAGGAAATCACTTTAACGCGTTATTCCTCGGACCGCACGAAATAAGCTCAGTGGGTAGGCATGGGCGCGGAAAACGAGGTGTGTGTCCGACGTCGGTACGCCCGAAAGCGCTTTTCCCTTTGCGCGTAATCCCGCGGCGTGTAAGGTAACGAGGGCGAAAAGAGCGCAAACGAAATGTTATCGTAGCCGTAAATATCCCGGCCGGCCGGCTCTCCGCCGGCGCAAGGAAATGCAGGAAGAAGGGCGACCGCCCGGCTCGCGCGAGTTAGCGCGAGTGAGCCATTATTATGTCGCGCGAGTACGGTGGACGTAATTAAACGTCCGAGAGGCGCGCTCTGCTCGAATGGGTTAAAAGATCGGAATTTCCGATAGCTCGTTAAAACGCCGGTGCATCCGTGGGTGCGATGGCCGAGAGAAAGAGACGAAAAGAGAGACGGTGAGAGAGGGAGAGAGAGAGAGAGAGAGAGAGAGAGAGAGAGAGAGAGAGAGAGAGAGAGAGAGAGAGAGAGAGAGGCGCGGAAACGCGCAACCGATTTCGTTGGCCACCGCGTCCTACGGACACGGTGTGGCGAGGCGTGATTAATACCGAAATACGAATGACTTTATTCATGAAGGGGCCCACGCCTTGTTATGCAGATCGAATTTATGGCTAAATCATACGGTGCCCTCGGACAGTATCCCGCGGTCGTCAACGTTACCGCTCCTCGCATTTCTCGCTCGCGGCGACGGCAGGAAATCGGGATAACGAGGCTGAATGTGGAGCGCGCGCGCGCGGGATAAAGAGAGCAACAACGGCCGCGAGTGGCGGCTACATTATGAATATGCCTTAAAGTAGCTTTCTAACGGACGCTCTGCAACACTAGCCCCCCTCCTCTCGTCCTCTCTTCCTCTCTCTCTCTCTCTCTCTCTCTCTCTCTCTCTCTCTCTCTCTCTCTCTCTCTCTCTCTCTCTCTCTCTGCATCTCTACCACGCTCTTTGTCCGTTCTCTTCCGCTCTGTCTCATTGTTTTTCTCCCTTCGCCTTTTCCGCGTCTGTTCTCTCTGTCGCTTGTCTCTTCTCTCCGGTGGATGCTCCAGCATCCACCGTTTCGCCTCGTTTTCGCCTCTGCCGCCTTCATCGTCCTCTATCCGGCTCGCCGGCACGTCTGCCCGTTCTCGGACTCCCGGAGTACAGAGCGCAAGATAGACGTTTATCTCTCGTCTCTACAAACTGCGCTCACTCGCGCTTGCTCGTGTTGCGAGGCAGGAAATTCAGCCGATCGATAGGATACCGCATCAGAATCACTCACGGCCGAGCGCTCTCGTTTCTCTCCTGCATTCCTGCCGCTGACTGTAATGTTGCAACAAGACGTTGCAATTGCCGTTCCTCGCGCGCGCGCGCGAGCACGCTGAGCGCCTTTCGCTTCGACTCCGGCTAACTCCGGCTAACGTTATTCGCGAATGTCACGACGCCTCTGAAGGCTCGTCTACATTAGCTGTAAGAGTAAGGCTCTGTAAGGCTGTAACGTAAGCTGTCAGCGAATGAAAATATTTCATTTCGTGTCTCGCAACCTTACAGCCTTACTCTAATGCTAGCTAATGTAGACGAGCCTTTATGCATCGCAGTTCCTTAATCTCGCACGCTTCGCAGCGGTCTCTCGCGCGCGAGTGTACACCAACCGTGGAGTCGTTAGCCGGATTGCGCATGCGCGCGTATTATTTAATTCCGTATAATTAATTCATGACTTCTTTTTCCGCTCGACTTTTTTCCGAGCGCTTTAATTGAACGTTAATAAATACCGACCATTTATCAGGTGGCTCAGCACGCTCCGCCGGGGGAAATGTATAATTGCGAAAAACCAGCCGTCTCTTCAACCGATTATTACGCTAACGAGCCTTCAAAGGTGGAATATCCGATACATTAAATAGAAATTTATCATCAGCACACCGTCGCGCTGTCAGCAACGTCGCATTAAACGACCGTTACGCCAACGACGATTCATTATATTCGCGATACCCAATTGAAGCGGCGCTCGGCCGACGCCGAATGATCCTCGGGGTTCTCTGCCGTTTTCTCTTTTTCTTTCCTCTTCCTTTCCTTTTCTTTCACGTTCTCTCAACGTGAAGACCGAGAGAAACGGAGGATGAGGATGTTTATTTAAGAACGGAGAGAGCGAACATCGCCGGAAAGACCAGAGTATTAACCGATTACTCACCTTCGTGCAGCTTCTCCAGGGTTCCCTCGGCCGAGACTCCCGCGAAGAAGAAGGAGAGCCACAGCAAGCCGACCATCCTTCTAATTCGGTTTCTTGACGTATCCATTCCGTTAGCACTTAGATGCTGCAACAGAAGCGCAGGAGACATCAATGCACACGCGTGCGCACAACGCGAGACGCGGAATTGCATTCCGCGTCTGATATTATATTCCCGAGTAGAAAAATTAATAGACCTCTGGTAAGGGCCTGATTATTTTTCTCTAATATTAATCGGGCCTTGGTAGGAATAGAAAGACAAGGGCCCTACGAGATGTGTAACAAATGGTTTAACGAGACCTTATAAGGTAATATCATGAGGGCCTTATAAGGAAACGTTTTTGTTATTGCTTCAGTAAAAATATTCCTTCTTTTCATTCCACGAAATTTAGACTGTCATTTCTTCATGTCTTTATAACCTTGTTAGTATACACAAGAATTTTTTATTTAAAAAATATAGCATATTTTGCAATAAAATATATCATTCTTTGCACATAAAAATCCTGCTACTGTTTTCATTAAAGTTTGCTGCATTTCAAAACAAAAGCAATATTAGAAAAATCCTTGAAAGAGACCTTGGAAGAGAGATAATGAATATGGCAACCAATAAAACTAATAAAATTTGTTTTTAATTGCGATATAATTAAAAAATTTTTTTAATTAAAAGATCCTTAAAAGAACCAGATAGAACGTACGTAATACTAAATTATGATAATTTTATTACACACTTCAGATCTTATTATTAATTTTCTATAACAAACTTAATTTTGTATATAGGATGTAAAGCAACCTTAAAAAATCTTTCTCAGGTCCATATTAGTTTTCCATGTTAAAGCGTTATTTTGTAAAATCTAAGGCGTCCCTAAAAGATCTTTCTAAGGTCCTTATCAGTTTTTCTCTATCAAAGCCTTATTTATTAAATATAAGGTATTCCTAATAAATCCTTCTAAGTCCCTCATCAGTTTTCTTTATCAAAGCCTTATTTCGTAAAATCTAAAGTATATATATATATATTTCTAAAGGATCCATCACGGGGCTTGATGTGGTAATAATGTGGTATCCCTTCTTAGAGCATCCTACTTTCAGCCTTATCGGGACTTCATGAGAATGGCCCTAACAATTTTTTGCTCGGATTGCGTTCAATCGTAGGAACACGTGACAACATCGAAACTTATTTATTCCTCCAAAGTTCGTAAAAGACCGATACTTGGCGAGACAGAGAGAAAGAAAGAGAGAGAGAGGGAGAGGGAAAGAGCTTCCTAAACCTCACAAAGATGGAGGCGAGAGCGAGGACGAGGTTCGGTCGTGGCGGACACGTCTTAAAATACAAACAGCAGCGCGATTAACCGGATTATAAATATATACTGACGTCCGTCTAAAAGAACGAAGAGGAGGAGGAGGAGGAGGAGGAGAACGAGAGAGAGAGGCGAATCAATGGCTGGCGGCCAGCCAAGATTCCCCGTAAAATACCGGCGCGTACGGGCAATTAAGAGAACGCTCCCGATATAAATCGCGAGTCCTCCAGGAACGCCGGTCGCTACGTGGCCTTCGGTTTTCGGGTTGCGCGACGCGCCACGCTCGTGACAAACGTTACGGCAACGACGGGGGAGGTTGTTAACATCGGCCGGGCGCTCGGGCAAATATGTTTTTATCGCAGTGCTCTTCTGCTCGAGGAGGGAGAGAAAGGGAGAAAAGCACGACGAGAGCACACTTGGACGGGGGCGCGCGAGCAAAGTTCCGCGGAAGTTCCGCGCTCCTCTGCAGTATCAATAACCAGTTTTCCGGGACGAAAAACTATCCGAGTCTCTTGGAACCGCCGGCGGATATCCTTCCAGCGGTCTCCCGGTCCCCTCTGGCGCAGGAACTGCCGCAGGAGCTTCTCCTCGGCAGCCTTTTCTTACACGGCAGCAGCGTTCACGCGCGCGCGAACCAGGCGGAGGAAACAAAATAACGAATGGTACTAATAGAGCGTTCTCGGTCTCCAGGAAACTTTTCCACTGTGTGCCGTTACGTCGCGCTCGGTATTGGTCGGCCAGTGCGTCGTAAATCAAAAGTTTCTCACCTAGAACGCGCGACTATGTATATAACATTACCGCGCTCGCAATATCTGTGCGCGAGCCGAACGACTTTTTTTTCGCCAGCCGACAGACTGAGACCTGAGACTGAGGAGAATGCGCTGCATTAAGAAGTTCCGCGGCGGCTGGCAGCGAGATATGCGCGGCCGAGCCGAAGCGAACGACGTAATCGTCGCGGGCGAGATGACGCTCGATCGAACGTGAGAAGTCTCTGCCTATTCTCTGACCTCTGCAGCTGAGGGAACCGTCCCGAGCTCTCTTTCTCGCGTCCTCCGACGCGTCACCCGCTCGCGACGAGGCTCCGCCGAGTTACGCAACGGAGCGCGCCGGACAGGTGCGGTGATAAAATGCGAAAATTAGGGCGACTGTAACCGGGGGAGTTTACTCTTAATTATAATGCGCCCGCTCGTGTAACGGAACGGCAAAGGGAATCGAATGAAGAGAAAATCGAAGTACCATCTTCAGAATTTCCCAGCGGTATCCCGCGCGCGCGCGACTCGACGCTCTCAGTTTCTCGGGTCTTGAGAGTGCGCTCTCTCGAGGAGAGCGATGCACTCGTGGCATACTAAAACGCTTCACTCAATCAGTTCGGCTTTACGCAAAGCGGCATTTCTAGAACGCTCGTCCTTGGATCCGTAATTTGCGCGCGATGCCCTCAAAGCCGCCGAGAGAGCTCAGCTGTCTCCGTCTCCGCTTTAACGATTCCGTGTACACGTAACTGGACATTCCTTTGGCAGCTTATACGGCCTGTAAGACTTATCGACGAGCGCCACGCTCGAGTACACAGAAGAGCGTGTCGCTACCTGCGTCGTATCGGAAAACGATTCCTAAGGGCGTCCCTTCAAACTCCGCTTTACGCCACCGCTGCTAATATCGACGCACGACGTGCGTCGATTATCTCGCGATGAGAATAATCCGGGTGGTACACAACGTGTTATTAGAAAATCGCCGTACACTACGCCTAGACGTGCATTCTCGTCTCGCGTGAAAGACTGGAAGATGAAACTTCGAGAAATGAAGAACGCTCAACGCGCGCGCATCGATCGATAGCAAGCAAGCGACAGCGACAACGCAAGTCGTTTTCCTCTTCGCGCACGAGGCTGCGTTGCAAATCCTGAGTTATCCCGAGTAGAAAAATTAATAGTGCTCTGGTAAGAGCCTGATTATTTCTCCCTAACATTAATCGGGCCCTAATAAGGATAGAAAGACAAGGGTCCTGCAAGATGTGCAACAAATGGTTTAACGAGTTCTTATAAGGCAATATCATGAGGACCTTGTAAGGAAATATTTTTATTATTGATTGAGTAAAAATATTCGTTCTTTTCTTTCCAGGAAATTTAGACTATAATTTCTTTATTTCTTTATAACCTTGTTAGTAGTACAGCAATAATTTTTTATTTTAAAAATATAGCAGACTTTACAATAAAACATAGTGTTCTTTGCACAGAAAAATCCTGCCGCTGTTTTTATTAAAGTTTACTGCATTTCAAAACGAAGGCAATCCTTGGAAAAGACTAGTGAATATAGCGAATAAAACTAATAAAATTTGTTTTTAATTGCGATATAATTAAGAAATCTTTAAAAGAATCTGGAATAGAGCGTACCTACTAAAACAATACTAGACTATGACAATTTTATTACACGCTTCAGATCTTATTAATTTTCTAAAACAAAACTTTATTTAATATATCTAAAACATCCTTAACCATTAAGAGACACACATTCTGGGTGAAATATAAAGAGCACATTGGGACAATTTGATCCGAGCAGTTTCAGTAGGTTGCTACAAAGTTACTATTCATTTTTCTGAGTTAAAAAATTCAAGTATATAACTTAAATATCAAAAAATAAGATAATAACTAGAATGTGAAGGAAAGAACTTTAAATATTAAAAAAAAATTATAATTTAAAGAAACACCGAAAAATTGACTTTTTTCACTTCAAATTTGATAACTTTCTCATTTATCAATGTTTTCCGTAAAAATTTAACCTGATACTCTGGAAACCCTACTCCTTAAGATAAAAATGACTGCAAGTATGAATATTTAAAAAATGATATTTATCTGGACTACTGAAATGTGACCTCGTTTTCACTCGATTCTTCATATTCACGGCCTTCAGATTGCTCAAAAACATTCAGTCTTCTTCACTGTCTGAAGATTCCCCGCCAAAAGGCTCTACAGAGTCGTTGTCTTCGATGTGCGCGTCGCGTGTGCCCCGACTCCGTAAATTATACGCCGTCTAAATATGAAATATTTACAAATATAGTTGAGAAAAAAAATCGTGCCGCATTACCGCTATTGTTACTTACGTTATATCTGACAAAACGATAAGACCAAAACTGATGAAAAATAAATCACAAAAAATTTCGCTATAAATCGCACCGAGGGCACACACGGACAAATTGACCCGCGCTCTTTAAGGCGTCTCATCCCAACGGCTGCCAGCTGGATACTAAGGCCTTGGGCCCCGCAGGTAATACACAGTCGCAAAGTAGGAGAGTCAAACCAACAGTAGATGGCGCCACAAGTCCCAATTTCAAATATTTTCTTACAGATATTTAATTGCAACCTTTCGCTCGGGTCAAGCTAACCCGTAGTACCTTTTAAGAGTTAAAAAATCTTCTGAAGACCCACATCAGTTTTCCATATTAAAGGGGTATTTTGTAAAATCTAAGGCACCCCTAATAAATCCTTCTAAGGCTCTCATGAGTTTTCCTTACCAAAGCCTTATTTCGTAAAATCTAAAGTAGCCCTAAAAGATCCATCTCGGGGCCTAATGTGATAATAATGACCCGATCGATTATATACCCTCTGGCCATCGAAGCATCCTTTTTTAGGACATCTTACTTTCAGCCTTATCGGGGCCTTATGCTTCATGAAGATGGTCCTAACAATTTTTTGCTCGGGATGAATTACGACATCTCCCAGAACGGTGAAAAGTCAGTCGAAAGTCACGATACGCTTGACCACCTCGACGGAGGCGACCTTGGATCGATAAATTCGCAACTCGTG